GAAGGGAGGCATTCGTCCAATGTCACTCCTATTCACACGTTACGACCAGACATTGCCATTTTGAGGGGCAATAAGATTGAAATATTAGAACTGACGATATGCCATGACATTAATCTAATTTCATCGAAACAATATAAACAACAAAAATATAAAAATTTAAATGCATATCTAAATAAAGAATATAAAGATTGTTCTATAATAATTAATACATTTGAATTGTCGCCAATTGGTTTATGTAATAATTTTAATCTATCGATATTTAAATTTACATGGTCAATACCATTTAACTTTAAATTAATAAACAGTGTTATTAGCTCGTCATATGGAATTTATTGTGACAGAAACATTGCCTAATGCTATTTTAAATATAACTTACACCCATGCACTTGTCATTGGCAATGAGGATGGGTGGATCGTACATTTGATTATTTTTATTCTATTGATTATTTTTATTCTATTCATTTTAACATTTTAGTTACAATTTATTATCTTAATATCTTATAGTTTCATTGTGTCGATTGGATAAATAAAATATGTTCACATTATTATCATCGCTGTGGTTCTTCTTGCTTCTTGTGATGATGTTCCATTTGCAAGTGATATTTGCGCTGTGGGTTGTGGCGTTGGTATCTACAGTGTTGGGACTGTTGTTGTTGTTATTGTTGATGTTGTTGTTGTTGATGTTGTTGTTGATGTTGTTGTTGATGTTGTTGTTGGTGTTGCTGATGTTGTTGTTAGGGTTGTCACTATTGATGATGTTCCAATTGCAACTGATATTTGCGCTGTGGGTTGTAGCATTGGTATCTACAGTGTTGGCACTGTTGTTGTTGATGTTATTGTTGATGTTGTTGTTGATGTTGGTGTTGTTGATGTTGTTGTTAAAGTTGTATTATTAAGTTGTATCACTATTGGTATGATTGTTGTTTACATCATCAATATTGTTGGTGATAACATTGTTATAATTATTGCTGTTGTCGTAATTGTTGTTGTTATAATTATGATTGTTGTTTTTATTTAGTAGTCTATTTGAAGGTAGAATGTTGTTAGACTGTACTTGAATGTTCATGGAGGGATTTTTGTTTTGTATGAAAATTGATTCAGCTATTTTCAGCTATTTTCACAGCGCAAATATCACTTGCAAATGGAACATCATCACAAGAAGCAAGAAGAACCACAGCGATGATAATAATAATAATAACGTTAACAATAATAATAATAATAATAACGTTTTTAAATATTGTCAAAATAATATTAATAATATGTAGTTAATTAAATAATTTAATTCGCGCTTCTCGGCTGAGCGTTAATATTTACCTAAACAACCATAATATAAACAATCTTGCCGTTAAAATTTTTAAAAATCGCGTTTTATATTGTTTATAGTTATTAAATTTATTTTATTGGTTTTCTGTTTTAATTAAATAATTTATATAAATTAATAATTACTTGTTCCTTTATATCAAATATCTTACATACCTTATATATAATGCACTGAAGATGAGTTATTTATAACTCGAAATAGCTATTTGCAAATTTATTCAATAAAAATTTTTTAAAAAACAATAAAATGTCTAATTTCTCTGAAATTAATAAATTAAAAAGAAATATAAAAAAGTTGAACAATGTTGAAAGTAGTGTTGAATTTTTGAAATGTTGCGTTAACAACAGTCTGTTTATATATATATATATATATATATATATATATATATATATATATATATATATATATATATATATATGCATATGCTGGTAGAAGACCGAATTTTTGACAATATGTAATAAATTCCACCGATTTATTAGTGTTTATCAACTTATATTCTAATTTTTCAATTTGTCTTAGTAAATTTTTATCAACAAAATTGAGACTGTTTAAAATTGAAACTTTATTTTCCTTAACAAACATTTTACCAAAAATATTGCATATAGATCTATTTCGACGTTAAGCCGTCATTGTCAATGCATTATTTATTAATTAGTATTATTATAGTTTTAATATCGCAGAAGCCATGTTCATCGAATCTGAAAAACCTTCCATCAACATCCAACAACGAATCACAACAACACTTCCAACTCGAAGAATGAACAACAATAACGTTCATCGGATCAACCAGCAATCTAACAATGATAATAACAACACCATCAACAACAACAGCAATAATAATAATGTGAACTCTTATTTTCAGAAAACATCAAGGCAAATCAAAATAAAATAAAAAATATAGCAGAATTAATGTAGCGGGTTCTTAGCGGCAAGGTTGAGACGTAGACACAAATAAAAAAAAATGTTATTCTGTAAACTAAAACTATACCAATAATATACAACGTCAATAAAGAAAACCAAATAAAAGTTAAAGTTCGAGGTTAGTATGCAGACTTGTTCCTGCCAGTGCTGTGACCACGTACGAGCGGATACTGTTTCAACTTCTTCACTTGAGAACCATGTAGAATCCTTCGAACACTGGTGTTATGTGAGGTTGACTTCTTCGGTTCCAGCCGTCTTCTGCACCAATATTGCACCACCTGTGCTTTACCCAACCGACAAACGTTGATGTTACGTTGAAAGGCAACTACTTCGTTCGCCACCCTCCAACGCAACAGATACACTTTGTTCGCTACCTTACGTTTGTCGTCGTTGAGCTCGTAACAACCCCGTACCGTATTTCCAGCTCTCCCGTATAACCACTGAATAACTACCACCCACGTACCAACAAATGAAACTTCTCTCAATAATATCTTACCAACCAACAGCTACTTCACCAACCACGTTTGCGTGTCCAATTTCTCACCAACAAAAACGCCAACTCTACCAACTAAGTTTCTACAATGAAATTAACCAACTCTACCAACTAATTTTCTACAATGAAATTAACCAACTCTACCAACTAATTTTCTACAATAAAAAATAAACTTTCTTTCTGTCTGACGAGACCGGCCTTTATTTACACCACGCGCCGTCCTACCTCGCAGCAATAATATAATTAAATGATGCGGCGCTCAACATCTACCCTTGAACCGTGACAATTAAATTTTAATGCACGATCCTCCTATGCTCATTGTCAGTGACAGGTGTATGAGAGTATAAAATATATTTAAAGCATAGTATTTTACGCAACGCCAGCATGAACGAGACACGTGGTGGTGGAATGACAGTGTACAAAATGCAATAGCTGAAAAAAAAGCTGCATACAAGCAATGGCAAAAATCAAAGTCTGTTGATGACCATAAAATTTTCCGTGAGAAGAACAATTATGCAAGACGTCAAGTCGCACTGGCTGGCTCGGACAGATCAGTGCAGAGAGTGGCTCACTAAAAGCAAAGGTGAACAAATGAAATCTCTGTATTGTATAGCAAAACAGGCAAAGCGTACGAAAAAAGACATAGTAGTGCTTCATGTATCAAAAACCTCAAAAATGAGATGGTTCATGAACAAGGATGAAATCAAGCTACAGTGGAAAAATTATTTCAATCGTCGGTTAAATGAAACAAATCCCATCAATGTCAACTTTGACGCTCCACCCATCAAAGGTCTGATTCCAGACATCACTGTAGAGGAGCTTACAAAAGCTCTGAAAGCTATGAAGGATGGAAAGGCAGCAGGGCCCTCTGGACTCATAAATGACATTATCAAAGCATTTGGTACTGCAGGTATCCAAACGTTACTACAACTTTGCCGGGAATCTTGAGAAATTGCTCAATGCCGACTGAATGAAACTATTTGGTTTCCTAGAGGGGAAATCAACAATTGATGCAATTCGCATCCTTCGGCAACTGCAAGAGAAGTACCTCGCAAAGCATCAACAGCTATTACACATTTTTGTAGACCTTAAAAAAGCATTTGATCGAGTTCCCGTGAAGCAATCAGGTGGAATCTACGTCGACAACTCATTCCAGAATATCTTGTTCGACTTGTGATGGAAATGTATAAGAATACTAAGACTTTCGTCAGCACAGCGGTAGGAAACACAGATGCATTTGACATCGGCGTTGGAGTTAACCAAGGCTCGATTTTCAGTCCACTACTATTTATAACTGTGATGGAAGAAATCACAAAATCATTACGCACTGGTGACATTTTGAATCTAATATATGCTGATGATAGTGTTTTAACAGCCACGTCTGAGCAGAATGCAGCACAGATGTTTGAACATTGGAACACCAGACTGGCCGATTATGGATTCAAAGTCAACGTCAGCAAAACCAAAGCAATGAATACTGGTGAACCTATTCAATCCACAGCTACTGGACGATGGCCCTGTTCAGTTTGTAAAGCTGGTGTAGGTAACAATTCAATCAAATGTCAGCAATGTAACCAGTGGTTTCACAAACGTTGTTCAATAATAGTTGGTAATTTATCTAAAGTGTCCAATTTTGTTTGTCCTGTTTGAATCAATCTACAACAATAAATTCGAAATAGCAATGTTTTTGAAGCCATTAAGGTAAAGAAAGTCACATCGTTTCAATATCTAGGGGATGTTCTAGATTGTACTGGAACAGCTGAAGCTGCCGTTCGAGCCTGGAATAAATGGCATCTCCTTGCCTTTATATTGATGCGGCGTGACATCCCACTACCACTACGATCAAGACTTTATAAATCTGTGATACGTCCGGTGTTGATATATGGTGCAGAAACATGGCCAATGACAACCAAACTGGAACAACAACTTCACCGAACCGATTTAAAAATGCTCCGATGGATGCAACAACTTAGTTTGAAGGACCACATCAAATCTACCGAAATCCTGCGTCGTGCTGGTTTAGATGATATAAAGGACGAATGCTGGCAACACCGTCTGCGGTGGTTTGGTCATGTCAAACGAAGTGGAAACAGTGCCATAACTTTTCTTGCATATGTTGAAATACCTGCCAAAGGCCGTCCAAAGAAATCCTGGTCGCAAACAATACAATCGAGCAAGACGTGAAAGCTCTAAATTCAAATGAAATGGCTACAACTGATCGCCTAATTTGGCGCAAAAAATTGATGGCAAAGAAAACAACGTCCTACCTCGGAAAAACTGGGTCTCTTAACGCTAAACGATGATTGATTGATATATATATATATTTATATATACATATATATATTGCTTCAACATATATTCATATATATATATATATATATATATATATATATATATATATATATGTATATATATAAGCATGCTATGGCGGCCGAACGAGTTACACGTGTTTCTGAAATTGTTTGTTATTTGTTGAATAATTTTGACAAACTCGATAATTTAAAGTTTTTGAATATTGTCGAAGAATTTTATAATGTTGAGAATATAAAAAGTGGAAAAAAACTTTTAAACTTAGATTTGGAAACTTTAGATAAAGGTAAAATTAAATCCACGCAACGTGGTAATGGTAAGCATGAAATATTTCTGGAGTTAGTTGAACTTGTTAAATGTTTTAATTCTGTAAATTCTTAACTTAAACCTACATTTGTTGCTGCAAACCTTCAGAAAATTCCTCAAGTTAACATTGAATATTTTATAAATATGTTTAATGAAAAATTGAAAGATATGGAAAATTTCTTCAACGTGCATAAGTCTGAATTAGTTTCTATTGTAAATAATCTAAACATAAAATTAAGCGCGAATGATACAACTCGGAGTGACTTTGTAAATATCTCTGATAATAATATATTTAATAAAAACACTTTAAAGCCAATTTCTAAACCTATTTCTACTTGGGCTGATAAACCACTTGTTAGTCAAACTGAAGCTGACGAATCTGCTACGGATAACGATAGCAACTTCATTGAAGTCTCAAGTAAGAGAAATAAACGAAAAAAGATGTAATTTCACCAATTAAACAGTTAACTAAAGACCCAGATTCAAGAAAAAATAAAATTTTTGGTTCGTCCACTTCTTCCAAATTAAGAGCTTCGAAGGATACTTTTTCTGCTCGTGTTGTATCAAATAAAAGTTTAGCTCGTCTGAACTCCGTTTTATCTAATTTTGACTGGAGTTGTTTAAATCAATTTACCGATTTAAACAAATATACTTCATCATTTATTAATTTTTTTACTGATTTCATTAACAAAACATGTCCCATCCGCAAAATGAGATCTTGTAAAATCAAAAATCCGTTACTAACAAAGGGTATCCTTAAATCATTCAAAGTTAAATCTAAATTATATAAATTGTATATTAAAAATCCTTCTGAACTTAATTTTAAAATTTATAAAAAATATCGTAATAAATTAAATAAATTAGTTATTATTTCTGAAAAAATTACTATAGTGATATATTTGAAAAAAATAAAAACAATACAAAAGTAATTTGGCAATATATTAATAAATTAATTAGATCCCGACCCAATAATTCTATCAGTGAAATAAATGTAGATGGTTTGATGATAGATAATCCGAAAAATATATGTAAAGCATATAAATTAAATAAATTAGTTATTATTTCTGAAAAAATTACTATAGTGATATATTTGAAAAAAATAAAAACAATACAAAAGTAATTTGGCAATATATTAATAAATTAATTAGATCCCGACCCAATAATTCTATCAGTGAAATAAATGTAGATGGTTTGATGATAGATAATCCGAAAAATATATGTAAAGCATTCAATAATTATTTTACCTCTATTATTAAACACAATGATGGTTCTCAAAGTAATATTTTTTTGGACAATATTTCCTCAAATTTTACCGTAAACTCTTTTTATTTGGATTTAGTTGATAATGATGAAATTCTTGGACATGTCAATGATTTGAAGTGTTCTCATTCATCAAGCCATTCTTTTTTCATCAAAAAAACAATATATAACATTATTGATCCACTTAGTCATATTATTAATCAATCATTTGCCACCGGTATGTTTCCTGATCTTTTTAAGATTGCTAAAGTTATTCCCTTGCATAAAAATGGTCCCACTAATCTGCTGTCCAATTATCAACCAATTTCAATTCTACCATCTTTGTCAAAAATCTTAGAAAAAATCAAGTCAAATCGTTTAAATAATTATTTGAAACATATCAAATTTTTCAATGATTCTCAATATGGATTTAGAAAATGTAGATCTACTGAGTTGGCATTGTTAGATCTTGTTGAGAGAATTCTTAGTAAAATGGAAGATAAGTCGATAACTATTGGGTTATTTTTAGATCTATCTAAAGCGTTTGATTCTATCAATCATGCGTTATTGTTAAGGAAATTATATTCTCTTGGTATTCGTGGAGTACAACACAGATGGTTTGAAAGTTATCTATCAAATCGTAAACAATATGTAGCTTTGGGTAATCATCGGTCATCGAATGTTTTGATTAAATTTGGTGTCCCGCAAGGCTCAGTTTTGGAGCCTTTGTTATTTTTAATTTTTATAAATGATTTATCCACTGTCAGTAAATCACTTGAAAGTATATTGTTTGCTGATGATACCACTATTTTATGTTCTGGGAAAGACATTAATACTGTGGTCAATACATTTAACACTGAAATGGAAAAAATATGCAGTTGGTTTAAATCAAATGACTTAAATATAAAATATAAAAAAAACAAACTATATGATTTTTGGTTCTAAGATTGTTTGTAATGGAAATTGTTCCATTACATGGTCACGTGGGCCAGTTACTAGCACAAAGCACGTGTGCTTACCTAGGGGAGAGCGCCGTATGGTCACGTGGGTTGGCTACTAGACCAAAGTACAAGCGCTTACCTAGGAGAGAGCACTGTGCAAGTCTATAAATAGCCTGCGCAAATGAGTTAAGCCTTTTTTCTTTTCTGCGGCTCTTGTGCCTGAGTCGACATTAGTAAGTTGGTTATTGTATCGTTGCATTTTCGTTAATTTGGTTTATTCGATTAATTATTTAGTTAGGTTTTAATAAAGGAGGATTAATAATATATCTGTCGTTGCGTTTAGTTAATATCGAACCCGTTACATTGGTACCAGAAGTGGGGTAGTTATTTAATTGGTGTACGACAATAATTGATTAATTAAATAACTAATAGGACGTTTTGACATTTATATGAAAAGATTAATAAAACACTTAGTTATAAGTTATTACATTTGTTGTACGTTTGTTGTAAGTTGAGAATTCAAAATTATAATGGATCGATTGACGAAGATGANAC